CTGTAATCCCAGCTACCTGGGAGGCTGAGGCAGGAGAATCACTTGAACCCAGGAGGCAGAGGTTGCAGTGAGCTGAGATCATGCCACTGCACTCCAGCCTGGTGACAGAGTGAGACTCCATCTCAAAAAAAAAAAAGGACATTGTAAATTTTTTTAGCTGTTTACCAAAAGACCACTGGATGTCATAGTTGACTTAGGCCAATCTGGTCACACCCAGGGCTAGCAGTAAGCTCAGTTGTTATGTTTAGTTTGTTCCCTTTCTACTAGATCCATTTGCTTCCATTTAGCTCACGCGCCATAGTTTGCTGAACTTTAAACCAACTGCACCCTTGACATTATCCTCTGGGTATCTCAGAGGCACCTTAAGTGCATCTAGAATCAAACCCCTGTTCCCCTGCCAAGCCTACTACTTTTCTAGTCTTCCCTTCTCAGTAAATGGCATCAGCAAGTCAGAAACCTGGGAGTCACCCTTGATGCTTCCCTTTCCCTAACATTCCACATTCATACTTAGTTCAAACTTCCCTTCTTTCTTACTTGAATATCATAGAAACCTCCTCAGTAATCTCCCCATATTCACTCATTCCCTTTTTAAAAAAATTTCTTTAAGGGTTTTGCCATGTTGGCCAGCCTGGTCTTGAACTCCTGACCTCAGGCGATCCACCGGCCTGGGGCTCTCAAAGTGCTGATTTTTCCCATATTCACTCTTGATTCCTCCTAAGTATCTTCTCTAATGTGATCTTTTAAGAATGCAAATATCATCAGGTCTCTTCTTGTTCAGTCCCCCATTAAGTACTTTCCATGGCTTCCTATTACCCGAGGGATAAGGACCCAAATCTCTAAGGTCCTGCTTGGTCTGGTTTTTGTTTACCTCCCAGCCACATCTTATTCTATTTTCTCTCCCTTTCGTGTTTTCTGTGTTGCAGTCACACTCATTCTTTTCAGCTCCTCGACTGACTAAGCTCCTTCCTGGTGCAGGACCTTCACATGTGCTGTGTCCTCTGCCTGGAATGCCCTCCCTCTCCTCACCTTGTTACCGCTTCCTTCAGATCTCAGCTCAAGAGAAGCTTTCAGGGAAGCTTAGCCACTTTCTTTGTCCTTCCTTCATAGTAGTTATCAGAGTTTATAATTATGCATTTGTCTTTATGATTATTTAATTTATGTATCAAACTTCTGCTGTATTTCAAGTATACAAGGGAGTGTATTTATTTTGCTTGCATTTAATTCCAAACCCAGAGGGTGGCACAAAACTGATGCTCAATAATGTATGTTTGGAGAATGAGTGAAAGAATGAAAGCATTGTCATGCGAGCTTTGGGATAGAGACGTTCAAGGAGCAATTAGTCACTGGTAGAGGATCCAGGAAAATAAGGATAGAAGTGTCTACTAAAGTTTTTATCCCTTGGAGTTTACAGTTTTAAGATATACGATGCCTTTCACCAAAAGTGGTAGTGGAGTTCAGTTGTACCATAAGGTCTGTAAGTGAATGGGAAGGAGATGGGAGACCTCAAGTGTAGACTACTCTGCACAAACTTGGCTTAGAAAGGAGACAAAGGGCAATAGTTGGTAACTAAAGTAGTATTACCAGGTTAAGGAAAGATTTTTAAAAAATTGCTATTTGTTTTTAAGGATGAGAGAAACTTCTGTGTATTCAGAGGCTGAAGGGGAGGGGTTGAAGGCAGTAGAGAGGGTTTTTTTTGTTTTTGTATTTTTTTTGAAACGGAGTCCTGCATAGTCACCCAGGCTGGAGGGCAGTGGCGTGATCTTGGCTCACTGCAACCTCTGCCTCCCAGGTTCAAGCGATTCTCCTGGCTCAGCCTCCTGAGTAACTGGGACTACAAGCATGTGCCACCATGCCCAGCTAATTTTTTTTTGTATTTTTAGTAGAGGTGGGGTTTCACCATGTTGCCCAGGCTGCTCTTGAACTCTTGGCCTCATGTGATCTGCCTGCCTCAACCTCCCAAAGTGCTGGGATTACAGCAGTGTGAGCCGCCGCACGCAGCCTAGAGAGGGTTTTTCTGCTAAAGCAGGTCACGGAGGAGCGTGACTTTGCATAGGAAAAGGGGCGCCCCATGCTTTCAGGTTGGAAGTAAGGAGGGGAGCAGATGCAGGAATGTGTGTGCCTGCGCTATTTATATGGCCTCAAGTTTCATGATGAAGTAAGACGTAACATTTTCTTCTGAAAATGAGGGGTTTGGAGGTTGCATGGAGGATTGAGGGAGAATGACAAGGGCTTGAGGAATCATGGAATGGGAAGCTAACCAAGGCCAGTTAAAGGTTTGCCAGGCCTCGTTGAGGACTCAGTGGTGGGCGTCATTCATGATTTTTTATGGTAACTGTCCAGCTGTGTGATTTTTCTCATTCAGGGTATACTAGCTCAGTCTAGTTGTAGTCATCTACAGCTGAGCTTTTCCTGAAAGGGTGCAATGGGAAGATAGGAGTGTAGGGGAGTTAAGAGTATTGAATGTACTGTAAAAAAGGCGATAGGAATAAAGGGGGTGACTTACAAGCATGCTTTACTCCTATACTAGAGTTTCTGGTGACTTTATCTGTTTCTCTCAGTGTCTCCCTGTCTGCTTCCCTCCCTCTGAATTTTTGACCTGAAGGTGCTGACATTTAATAGAGGAATAGTCTTTATAACTAGGTGCAATCAATGGCACACGTGCCTAGGCAGGATTATGTACCCAGTTTTAGGAGGAGAAAGGGCGATGAACCACATCAGGGAGTTTGGGAAGGCACCACAAAGGGGGCTGATATTTGAGCTGGAATTTGAAGGTGTATGAATGTTGGGGATGTGGTGTGGTGGGGAGCAACCCAGGCAGGATTGGTAGAGGTAGAAAGGAGAGCCTTCCAGACAAAGACGGGTTTAAAGAGAGGCTCAGTGGCATGAAAGGACATAGTACATGTGAGAAATAGCAGGACATTCAAGGAATGGTGAAGGGGTTGGGAAGTAGATGGATGCAGTGACAGAAGTTTGGGGCTAGATAGCCAGTGTTTGAATTTTATTTTGTAGCCCATAGGAAATTATTGAAAGTTTTTGAATATGTGTGGTGTTCATTTTAATAATAATACCTAATATTTATTAAAGCTTTTATTCCAGATGCTGTGCCCAGCATTTCACGTTGTGAAATGAACAACATGATCATAATAAAAAGTTATATTTTTTGATCATAGTGGCTCTTCAGAGTGTTCCGGTGAAGTAGATCTTGTTATTATTCCCATTTACCAAGTAAAGACATTGAAGCTTGAACTGGTGAGGTAACTGAGATCAAGGTCTCACAGCCAGAAAGTAGTTGAGCTACTCAAGTCCAGGTCTGGCCAATTCGAAATCTGTATTTTAAATCTCTATGCTATACTTATGTTTTAGGATAAAAGAATGGATATAGGGAGAGTGTAGATTGTCCATTCATTTCCACCTTCCAGTTTTTAGAGCTAGATCTTGAGTGATAAATAAGGATTTTCTTACAGTGATGGGTCAGGATTGAGGGCGTAAGAGAGTGGGGCCTGCAGGATAAAAACTTTTCAGCAGAGGGACAGCATTTGGAAAGGCACGAAAGGTATGACAGGTTTAGCACGGCAAAGTCAGAAGGGGTGCCACAGGCAGACCAGAAGTAATCTTCATCTTCGGGACAGGTCAAATTCTTACGAGTTCTTATTAGTGGGTTCAGTTTTGCTCTCCTCCTTTTAAGAAGAATGTCAACAGACTGGACTGTCTAGAGAGGAGCAAGAAAAATGATTCAAAGCTGGCAGAGGTAAAGGCAGTGGAACTAATGACTCATCACTGTGACAGGAAAGGTTGAGAGCGTGGGCAGGACCGAAGAGGTGGCAATAATGACAATGATTCTAATATGTACTGAGCAGTTGCTCTGGGTTGGGTACCTCGTTTAATCCTCACAGTGGCCTTCTGAGGTTAAGTACTATTATTATCATTCCCACAAGGACGAGCAGGCCGAAGAAGTATAGTAACTTGCAAAGGCTGCAGAGCCCGCAGGTAACAGGGCTGGGATTGGAACTCAGACCCTCTGGCCTAGGAGTCATGGTCTGTGCACTCAATCACAACCCATTCTGTCTGTAACAGAAGCACTGTTGGTGTTCAGGATGTGTGTGGGTTTGCACTTTTCTGAAGTCTTGCTGCTCTATTTGCCTTGGCCACCAGAACATTCATGGCTTCTTGAGGGGAAGCAGGAAGAACAAAGGATTGGCAACGTAATTTCCTAAAATATGCCTCTGGAGGGCAAGATAAGTTTTTGTTCTCTGAAAGCAGAGGGAGCTGGTTAGAATCTGCCAGTCCTTTTCGGGGAGGTGAAGTGTCAGAGCTGGATACATGAGTGGTTTTGGAAGAAATAAGTCTCTAGTGGGTTTTAAAATGATACCTCATTTTTACATGACAGAATGCCTTCACCTATTCTGTTTTCTTCCCCATAATTTACTTTTAATGGATGTGTGTCTCCTCAGCCAGCTCTAAGAAAATGGGAAAAACTAGATAGTACCTTAGGGGCAGTTTTAGAAAATTATTTGAAAGAAATTTTTCCGTTCTTACTTCCTATTCTCATTTTGCTGTTGAGGCAGTGGTAGCTTCATGATGCAATCATGCTATACTTGGGGTAAGTCCCTTAGACCACAAAAGCTGCCATATTCCCAGAGTGTGTGTTTGTGTCTACGGGGATGGGTGGGTGATGTTGCCTTTTAGCCAGCCATGGGCAGACCCATTATTTGTACTTAATTGAACCACAAGCCTGTATTTGGGAAAATGCTGGTGTGACCAGATTTAAATTTTTTTCACAAGCATTAAGGTATGATTTAAGATTAGAAAATGATTGAAAAATACTAACTTTGATTAAGCCGATATCAACTCCTTGTCCCTTGTGGGCTTGCCTGAGAAGATAGTTATTAATATTTATTGCTCTGGTTTTTTGATGAGGGATCTAAAAAGAATTGTTCACTCACATCTGTATATTCCACCCAAATGAATGCATTTTAAGTGTTTGGGTTTGCTTCGATTAGGTGTTCATATCGTCCTTTCCTTGGAGATTCATGCAGATGCCCATGTCCGAGGTTATGTTGGAGAAAAGATCAAGTTGAAATGCACTTTCAAGTCAACTTCAGCTGTCACTGACAGGCTGACTATAGACTGGACGTATCGCCCTCCCAGCAGCAGCCGCGCAGAATCAGTAAGTGTGTACTTTTTCCAAACGTTCCTTTGGTCAACAGTTTTGGAATTGTTTTACTGCAAACCGCAGGCATGCATGAGGCCATCTCATCTTAGAGTAGAAAATGGGCTTCTACTTTAATAGAGGTAGATGAACTTTTATCCTATATGACGTTCATTTTTGTCCCATAGGGCCCCATGTAAGAATTCTGTAAATAAGCTGCAAGGAAAAAACTGTCAGAAACTCAGAGGAAATGTGGTTTAATTTTGTTTCCCTTTGTTGATTGCTTTTGCATGATTTCATAGCTTCATTTTCAGATTGAATGTACTGAAAGGGTACCTTCAGGACTGTTGAATGGAAAAGTTCTATAGGTCCAGACATAGACATCCTTTCTCTTAAGGCTGCTCACTTTTTGTTGTATTAAGTTATCTCAAAGGGTGTATATGTTTGCATATTTGTGTTCTGTGGATTTATCTTGGCACCTTTTCCCAGTGTATAAACATCTGCATTGATTTATATAGCTGCCTTTGAAGGAAATGGTGGCACCTCATGTTGGTGACAGATGTTGGTGACAGATGGTTTTGCAATACTGGAAGCAATATACCTTAGTCACACATGTGAAACACATTTATGGTTCAAGTTCCATTGTGGGTGTCTAACTGAAGATGAAAATGCTATAAAAACTTTTTAAGCTTCCAGCAGTATCCTTAGCTCAGGATAGATGTTATTCAAGAATGTGAATGTCATAGCTGTGTGTAAGATTGTATTTTTGAAAGTATTGTTAATTTATTTATCCTGTTTTCTTCTTGGAAAAATATCCTCTTTGACTTTCATGTATAAGTAAGCTTTGCATTCTGTGTTAGGAGCCATTATAGAATGCCACATAGCTTGGGGCTAGGCAGGGGACTCCAGTGAAAGAAGCTAGACTGTATTCATGGTCCTCCCCTCCTCCCCTTTTACAGACTTGAGATAGTTCACTTGATTCTGAATGGTCAGGAAATTGTGGCTGGCCTTACTTGGCTCTGCTTCCTTGGTCAAAAATAGGACAGAGCAAGCAATGGGGAGCTTCCTGGGTCAGAAACAACAGTTCTCTTCTAGCGCTTCTCTCTGTGAGGCTAGTCAAAAATCAGCAAACTTACACAAGCTGGAATTAAAGTTACATAACATGATGTTGCAGTCATGGGTTAATCAATCAGGGTTGTGTCAGATTAATCAATTAGGAAGGATTTCAGTTTCATGAACTTAACATTGAATTTATAGGCTACACTAATTTTGAGGATATACAGTGGGCCAGGTTTTGTCAATAAAACTCGTTTACACTGATGCTGATAATTAGTGCTAGGGATTCTTTACCTCCCCCTTTGAAATGTTCAACACACTTATGCTTTTCTTTTCTTTTCTTTTTTTGAGATGGAGTCTCACTCTGTTGCCCAGGCTGGAGTACAGTGGTGTGATCCCAGCTCACTACAACTTCTGCCTCCTGGGTTCAAGTGATTCTCCTGCCTCAGTCTCCTGAGTAGCTGGGATTACAGGTGTGCGCCACCATGCCTGGCTAATTTTTGTATTTTTAGTAGAGACGGGGTTTCACCATGTTGTTCAGGCTGGTCTCGAACACCTGACCTTGTGATCCGCCCACCTCAGCCTCCCAAAGTGCTGGGATTACAGGTGTGAGCCACTGTGCCTGGCCTATTATTTCTTATTATCTGTCTTTATCACTCAAATGTAAGTTTCGTGAGAGTAGGGACTACGCCTGTGTGGCTCTTACTTAACAATGCCTAGCACACTCGAGGTCTGCACCAAATATTTGTTGAAGGAATGCGTGAACAAATGAACAAATAAGTGAGTCAGCATCTTCTCTGGGAAGTTGCTTTTCAAAATTGGGCAATTTGGTGGTTGTAAACACCCAGGTTCCTAAATGGGAAGCTACCAAGTAACAGGGAAAGAGGAAAGCCTGTATTTTGCATAAGTCATATTGCATAAGTCATTTTGTATTGAAATACCTGTCTGGCCTGCCTCCAGGTATAATTACGCTTTTTTTTGTTGATGAAGTGTCTGATCTCCAAGTCCTAAGCAGCATTGTTTTAATTCAACACACATTTGTTGAGTACTTATCAGGCATTAGACTTAGGGATTATATTAATTGTCAAGGTAGATGACTTGAGAGAGGCTGAATTATATTACCCTCCTTGTGATTTTGAGAATAAACAAAAATCTCCTTTTTGTCACCTACTAGTTGTATACCTTAGAGCAACTCCCTTAGTCTTTTGTTTTTGGCTTTGTGTTCTTTCTTTCTGTTTTTGAGGTGCAGTCTAGCTCTGTTGCGCAGGCTGGAGTGCAATGGCACAATCTTGGCTCACTACAATCTCCACCTCCTGGGTTCAAGCAATTCTCATGTCTCAGCCTCCCAAGTAGCTGGGATTACAAGTGTGTGCCACCATGCCTGGCTGATTTTTGTATTTTTAGTAGAGATAGGGTTTCACCATGTTAGCCAGGCCGATCCTGAACTCCCGAGTTCAAGTGATATGCTCACCTTGGCCTCCCAAAGTGCTGGAATGACAGGTGTGAGCCACCATGCCTGCCCTGTCTTCCTTTTTATACATTCGGAATGATTATATCTGCCTCATGTAGTTCAGTGTGAGGAGGCTCACGTGAGGAAATTATTTACAAACGGTAGCGTGCTATTCAAATACGCGATGCGACTTTAGAGCAGTTTCCTGGTTTTGGTACTGTTGGCGTTTTGAGCTGGATAATTCTTTGCTGCATTTAGCAGCATCCCCGGCCTCTACCCACCAGATGCCAGTAGCATCTCCCCAGCTGTGACAATTGAAAATGTCTTCAGATATTGCCAATGCCTCTTGGAGGATGAAATCTCTGGTTGAGAACTATTACATCAGGTTTCCAGGGAGAATTTTAGAAGAGATTCAAGGGTTGGGATCCCAGAAGCCTCTCACTGAGCGTTTTTCTGATCAGTTGTATTGACGTATAGGCTGGAGGTTAAAAAAGCGTAAACTGTTGCCCAACTGAAAAAACAAACCCCATTATGCAGTCGTATTTTATTTTGGACCTACTGAGCTTTACGTTTTCATTGCATTTTCCAAATTAACTTTTTCTCTCATGGTGTTGCTTTCTTAGATCTTTCATTATCAGTCTTTCCAGTACCCAACCACAGCAGGCACATTTCGGGATCGGATTTCCTGGGTTGGAAATGTATACAAAGGGGATGCATCTATTAGTATAAGCAACCCTACCATAAAGGACAATGGGACATTCAGCTGTGCTGTGAAGAATCCCCCAGATGTGCACCATAATATTCCCATGACAGAGCTAACAGTCACGGAAAGGGGTAAGCTCACTGTCACCAACCTTCTTCTGCAGGGCTCTGTAACTGCTGTCGTGCTTTCTGGAGAGTCTGATGATAAACAAAGCTGTCTATCTTTGTAAGCCAGTTGGGTAATTAAGTCACTGAGTCAAAGGAATTTTTTTTTTTTTCTTTTTTTTGAGACGGAGTTTCGCTCTTTACCCAGGCTGGAGTGCAATGGCATGATCTCGGCTCACCGCAACCTCCACCTCCTGGGTTCAGGCAATTCTCCTGCCTCAGCCTCCTGTGTAGCTGGGATTACAGGCACGCGCCACTATGCCCAGCTAATTTTTTGTATTTTTAGTAGAGACGGGGTTTTACCATGTTGACCAGGATGGTCTCAATCTCTTGACCTCGTGATCCACCCGCCTCGGCCTCCCAAAGTGCTGGGATTACAGGCGAGTCAAAGTAATTTTTCTGCTGTCCTGATATGTATGTTGGGATGAATTTTTAATCTTTATTTTGAAAATGAAATTTTCTCTTCAAATGTTATAGTTTCTCCATTACCTTTTTTTAGTTTTAATTTTAGGTGACCAAAGGTCTTGTAGAATGTATGGAAAATCCCTGAGTAAATATGGGGTTGTTGTCTCTGGGAAATAGAAGTCATTCCAGCTTTCCTAGCATGTTCATACTTGCAGTTATGAGGTAGTGTTCTTGCCTGTGTCTTGAAAGGGCAACCCCTCTAATGATGAGAGCCAGTGCATTTCTTTTATACTGCAAAGAACGGTAGTTTCCCATTAGTGTGAAACAGGAGAGTAGATTAGGGACTGATTTTTTTTTTCTCCATTATTCCCTAGTGACTACTTAAGTGGTCATTCTAGTCCTTAACTGGATTTGAGCCAAAGATTTAGAGGTACATTATGGCTCATTATAGATGAGTCATCATTTCTTAAGTCTTTTTCCAGTCTCTCTCCCTCCCTCCTTTCCTCCTTCTCTCCCTCCCTCTGTTCCATTCTCTTTCCCATCTTCCCTTCCTTTCTCCTTCCTTCCCTCTCTTCATCTCTTATTTCTTCTTTCTCTTTCTCCTTTTTTCCTTTTCTTTTAAAATAATAACTTATAGGTTTCAAAGATGAGCACATTCATACTGCTGGCCGAAGAAGAAAGTGATACAGTTTCTCTGGAAGGCAGTTTGGTAGTATGAAAACAGGTGTCTTAAAAGTATAGGCCCTTTGATCTAGTAATTCCATTGTAAATTTCATCTTAATAATTAGAGCTAAACGTGAAGACTTATGTGCAAGCATGGCCATCCTAATGTAACCTGTAGATTCTAAGAATTAGAAACAACTTGAATGCCCAGCATTAGAGGATTAGTTCCATGAATTATTCAATATGACAGAATCCTATGCAGCCATTACACATCATATGTGGAAGGAATGGTTAAATATTTATTATATAATAAATTTAAAAAGGAAGTTAAAAATAATACATAAATATGATCCATACGTAAAAATATATGTGCCCCCCATGCACCCTATACCCAGTACCCCTAGAAGAAGCTTAAATGGGTAGATACCAAAGCGTTCTTCCTAGGTAGTGGGATTATGAGTAAATTTTTATTCTTCATTGTACTTTCGTGTATTTTCTACCTTTTACACAATGTCTTATTACTTTTGTAATTAGAAGAAATGTAAGAACAAACATAGAACCTAGCTCACATCACAGGAGGCAAGTTTGCACATCCCTGTCTTTTACGTTCTCGGTCTCCACCTCTAGGTTTTGGCACCATGCTCTCCTCTGTGGCCCTTCTTTCCATCCTTGTCTTCGTGCCCTCAGCCGTGGTAGTTGCTCTGCTGCTGGTGAGAATGGGGAGGAAGGCTGCTGGGCTGAAGAAGAGGAGCAGGTCTGGCTATAAGAAGTCATCTATTGAGGTTTCAGATGAGTAAGTCCAGTGGGAGCCCAGGGCAGCAAGCTCGTTTCGTCCTTAGCACCCTACCCAGACCCCTACATCCACACTTCTCTTTCTTCTGAACCGAGTTTAGTTCTGCTGGTGAAATTTCTTTTTGAAGAGAATAGTTTTGCTAAGGGATGCCAAAAGGAAGGTTGAAAGCGAAGCATGTGAATGCTAATTTGGAGAGAGATGGGGGAGTTGAAATATGGTCCTTGTCTTCTTCTTTGGAAATCATTGTACAATGCCATGGTTCTGAATAAATTCTGAAGTCAATGTTTCATTCTTTCAATTCCAGGTCAATTATTTTTCCATCTCCTTGTTTTTGGCACTAAGCTGATGATATCTCCTGACAGAAAATGCCTGGGCAATGAGAGAGGCTTTAAGAACAGCTGTGGAGGGCAAAAGCGATTTGAATAAGCAAGATCTATTCTTGGTCAGCATATGTTCTGAAGGGAGGGGCTACATGGACCGTGTGTATCAAAAGGTTTATTAAGCATTATTCTGCCAGTGAGCAGGCATGACCTAGTATGTTCCCTAAAAACAAATGTAGTCAAAGGAAATCAAAACAAAAGGCTACATAAAACCCCTGTTCTCTGTAGTCTATGTCAGGGGAGGGGAGTCTAACATTGAGAAGGTCCAAAATTCTGTCCCTCTCTCTCTCTCTGTGTGTGTGTGTGTGTATGTGCATTTATTTAATAAGAGAGTACCCTGCGCCCTTTCCAAGGAATCTGTGGCTCAAAAAGGGCAAAGAACTCTTGGTAAAAATGCTAATGTCTGTTTCTAAGCATGGCGTACAATACCCCCTATGATCTTACTTTAAGTTACATTGTTCCCTCATGTCTCCACACGTCCCAGCTGCCATGAACTTTGCTTTTTTTTTTTGCCCTGACATATTATACTTAATTCAGATATTTTTCCTCTTTCTCATCCTCTAAGACCCCGCTGTTTGTCTTGCTTGGAATGCCCTCCTTCTCTTGTTTGCCTGGAAACTCTTTCTTATCCTCCAAGACTCAGCTGAAATAGCCCCTTCTCTTGAGTTTCCCTGAGTCCTCAGAGGACAATTAGTCACTCCCCACTCTTCGCTGCTGCAGCAGTTTGACCTTAACTCTATTAAAACACTTATCACACGGCACTATAATAAGTTTTAACTGGTCTCTCACCCCCATCATGAGCTCTTCACAGGCCCAAGTTTTATTTATCTTTTTACCTCTAGGCCAGCACAATGCTCAGACATTGTCGGTGCTCAGTACATTTCTGAATGAGTGATTATGCCTAGCTCCTATTTATTGAGCACTTATTATGTGCCAGGCACTATGGTACATGTTTCACGTTTATTTTTTATTTACACCCAAGAACTATGCCTTAAGGGTGGGTGGCAATATGTGCATTTTGTTTGTTTGTTTGTTTTTTGAGATGGGAGTCTCACTCTATTGCCCAGGCTGGAATGCAGTGGTGCAATCTCAGCTCACTGCAACCTCTGCCTTCTGGGTTTAAATGATTCCCTGCCTCAGCATCCTGAGTAACTGGGATTACAGGTGTGCACCACAATGCCTAGCTAATTTTTGTGTGCTTAGTAGAGACGTTTCGTTATGTTGGCCAACCTGGTCTTGAACTCCTGACTTCAGGTGATCCACCCACCTCAGCTTCCCAAAGTGCTAGGATTACAGGCATGAGCCACTGTGCCTGGCCAATATGTGGATTTTATAGATGAGGAAACAGGCTTCTGGGGTTTAAACAATTTGCCCAGTCACCCAGCTAGTCAGTGGAAGAACTGGAATCTAAAACCAGACCTGTCTGATTTCAACACCTGTACTTTTAACTGCTCTATGCTATTGAGGAGAGTGCTGATTCAGATTTGGTTTGTCCTCTTTCTACAGCACTGATCAGGAGGAGGAAGATGCGTGCATGGCGAGGCTTTGCGTCCGTTGCGCTGAGTGCCTGGTAAGTGCATGCTGTTCCTTCTGCTCACTGTTGATGTCTCACTTTCCTGCTTATCTAAGAGGATCCATCCTATGCCTTCAGAGGCAGCAGAGGATGTACAGGTAGGTCCAAGCAAGGTATGAGCCAGCATCTTCCCTCAAAGCATTTTGGATTCAGGGGACCCCTACCAATTCTAACCATGATTTTGTTTCCTGACTCATGGGCATAGAGTGGTGGTCTTAGGTTAGGGAAAGGGGGCTGTGTAGAGTAGTTTCTGCAGACTGACAGAAAATCCCAAAACAGGAGTGTCCTATGGCACTGAATTCATACTAGGAGACTGACTGGCTGGACCTGACCCTGAGTTTAATTTTTCCACTGAGCTGTAGTATTTTTCAGGGAGTTAGAGTGATATAACCTTTTAGGTAACTTGATGTCTTTTATCAATAAGAAATATCACACTGGAAGGTCCAAGTTTTGATTTGAATGTCAAAAGGTTGTCATCCCTCCTGCTTTGGGTACTTGGTGTAACTGATGACAGAATCAGATACTTCAATTAGGAGGCTTGACTGGCTGTCCTAGGATCCTAGCAGGAGGGAAGACTCCCTGATGTGGTGCAGTTGAAACCAGATCACAAGGAACTTCTGATCTCATGTGATACATAGCTGTCATTGCCCCCTGTGTACTTATTGCCAAGCTCACACTTGGCTCCATGACTAATTGCAGTGTTTTCTGTTTCTCTTTCTCTCATGCACTTGAGTATTGTAGGAGAGATAAGAGAAAAGTTGATAATGCCAGGTATTAGATAAAATACCTCCAGAGGTTGGTATTAGGTCCTTACTTTTTTATTTTATTTTTATTTTTTTTCTCTGCCTGTTTGATCAGGTCTTTATTCAAAAGAAGCTGTCCAAAATGATTTGACCTTTGTGGAATAATCAAATTTAAGAGTTTATGCAGCAGGCTTCTTTTCCTCTGTAGGGGGTTTCTTTTCTGCTGGCTTCTTTCAGGGGCTGGTTTCTTGGTAGCTGCTGCCTTTTTTCCTACTGGAGGTTTCTGCTGCTTGTTAACACCAACAGCAGCCTTCTTTCCTTTCTTACTTACTACAACAGGCTTCTTGCCTGCAACCCCCTTCTCATCTGATTTGGCTTCTAGTGCTGCTGCTGCTGTGGCCGCCTTATCCACCCGGAGCTTGTGATTCCTGGCCTGGTGGAGAATGGTGTTCCGGCGCATGGTCTTTGCGTATGGGTTTAGCTTCAACATGATTCTCAGGTTTTTCAGTGGGTTCTTCTTTAGGATTCTGTGATGAATCTTCTTGCGTGGTGCTCAAAGGGCTCTTTGGATCTCTGGGCTTTTCAAGATTCTGCTGAGATCCGTATTGATCATCTTATGCATGGGGAGATTGTAGTTACTCTTGAGGGAAGCAGCTTTACGCCAAGTGCCATACAATTCATCTAACTTCCGGAAAGCACTTTCAGTCCAAATGCAGAAACGTCCCACATACCCACCGGGAGCAAGCTTCAAAATGTTCAGTTTGCTTACATTAAGCAGAGTAATTCCAGGGATGTTTCTGAAGGCCTTGATGATACCATTATCCTCATTGTAGATGATGCAGGGGCCTCTGCGCTGGATATGGCGACAATTTCTCATTTTGCCCTTGCCAGCTCTCATTCGCTGAGAGGCATAGACCTTTTTGATATCATTCCAGGCTTCAAGTTTCTTAAGAAGCAAAACAGCCTCCTTGGTCTTCTTGTAGCCTTCAACTTTATCTTCGACTACCAAAGGAAGTTCAGGAACTTCCTCAGTACGATGACCTTTAGACATGACCAGTGCTGGTAAGGCTGAGGCAGCCAGGGCAGAACAGATGGCATATCGTTTTTGGGTTGTGTTCACTCTACGATGCCAACAACGCCAGGTTTTGGTTGGTGCAAACATTCAGCCTCCATGACACATATTTCCAAAAGCACCCTGGCCAGAACGGTGAGTCCCACCACCTCAAACTCTGGGAATTCGAGCCACACCTCTGCCAGTACCCCAAGACTCAGCACTAGTCTGATGGCCTGCTAATTCACTGACGGCATAGGGCTGTCTGTTGTTTTTGCGCAAGTTGGTGTGAACAAAGTTCACAATATCTGGTCAAATAGGAGCCTTGAATACAGCAGGCAAAGTGACATTTTTGCCAGGAGACTCCCCCTTTTCGGAGTACACCGATATCAGTGGGCGAGCACACGCCATGGCGGAGAGAGGAGACAGCCACGCTTGGTCCTTACTTTTAGAACACAAAATAAGTTAATATTCATACAATTATTGCCTACATTTCAGACCTTAATCAATTCAACAGTGATTTGTTGAACATCTGTCACGTGCCATGTGTACTGTTCTAGGTGCCCAGGAAATGAATGGCAGGGACCAAAACTGACAAAAATTCCTACCCTCAGAGAACTGAATGTTCTCTGCCTGGACAACTTTCTTATCCTCTAAGACTCTGCTGAAACGTCACCTCTTGAATTAGGGTACAAATACTCACAAAGCTTTAAAAAATAAGTAAAATATATCATATATGAGACAGTATATATTACAATATATGAGAAAAAAAAGCAGAAAAGGGGGATGGGATGGCTGGATAGGAGGTATAATATTAAATAGGTTAGGGACAACCTCAGTGAGAAGATATTCAAGCAAACACCTAAGAGAAGCATGCCATATGGCTATTGCCAGGGAGCATTTCAGGCAGAAGAAATGACAGGTGCAAAGGCTCTGAGGAGGGGCCATGATTGGCGTGTTCTTTGAGTAGCAAGGGGGCAGTATGGCAGGAATGAAGGCAGCGAGGCAAAGAATAGTAGTTGTTGACATCAGAGAGGTAATGCAGCAGCTAGATCTTACAGAACCTTACAGATGATTGTCATGACCTGGGCCTCTACTCAGCGAAATGGAATCCACTGGAGGGTTTGGGAAGAGAAGCACTCTCAACTAATGTGTGTTTAAAAAATATTACTCTGGTTTTTGTCTTGAGAATGGGTGGTAAGGAACAATGACAGAACCAGAGAGTCCAGTTAGGAGGCATTTGCATTAATCCAGAGAGCTGAGATGCTGGTAGTTTGGACCAGGGCGATGGTGGTGGAGGTGGTGAGAAGTGGTTGTAGTTTGAAGTGTTATAGTTTGAAGGTAAAGCCAGAAGAATTTACTGGTTTTACATTTTTGTGTGAAAAAATGAGGGAACTCAAGGATAATTCCAAGATTCTTGACTTAAGCAACTGGTAGAATAGAGTTACCATTTGCTAATATGTGGAAGTCTGTAGGTGAATCAGATTTTAGGAGGAAGATCAGAAGTTGGGTTTGGACATATTAAGTTTGAAATACTTATTAAAATTCTAAGTGGAGATGTGGAGAAGGCAGTTGTGGGTGTGGAGTTCAGAAGAGAGGTTTAGACTAGAGGTAATAGATTAGGAGCCATTAGTGGATAGTGAGTGATAGAGACATTTCCTCCAGGTAAATGAGTGTAGATAGGGAAGGGTCAAAGGACAGAGCCTGGAGCCCTCCAAGATTTCTTGGATGGGGTGATGAAGAGGAATTATTAGTAAAGAGATTTTGGTATCCTGGGAGTCAAGTGAAGAAGTGTTTCTAGGAAAAGACAGTGATTAACTGTGTCATTTGCTGTGGAGTCAGGTGAGGTAAAATGAGAACTGATAATTGATTATTGGATGATTTGGGAATATGGAGGTCATTGGTGACCTCGGCAAAAGGAAATTCAGTGGAATAGTGGGAATGAAAGCCTGTCTGCGGTGGGGTCAAGAAAGATTGCAGAAAAATACATTGGAGACAGTGGGTATAAAGAACTCTTCCAAGGAATTTTACTGCGAAGGAATACAGAGAGACAGGCATTACATAGAGGGTGTTGTCATGGGTGGCTTTTCTTTTAAGATGGGAGAAATTGAGCACGTTTGCATGCAGATGGGAATTATGTAGTAGACAAGGAAAAATTGGTGCTACAAGAGAAAGAGGAGAGGATTGCTGGGGTAATGCTACGATCTAGCATAAACGGAGATGTCGGCCTTAGATAAAGGCAGGGAGAGTGCGTAAGAACAATAGGGAAGGCCAAATTGATGGGTCAGGATGCGGCGGAGCGGCCATGTATGATGGAGCTTATGGAAATTCCCTACTGACTGCTTCTTTATTCCGGCGAAAGCAGGCCTGTCAGCTGAGAATGATGGGAAGAGGAGGTGTTGGAAGTTTAGGGAAAGAAGGAAGGGTATGAAATAGTCATGAAGGAGAATGAATAGACCAGAGAAATGTGGTATGCCAGATAGTACTAATGGCCCACTTGAAGTTAGAAGTAATGAACATGAGTTTGGATAATAATAGTGGTAACAGGAACTAGTCTTGATTGAGTGCTTACAAAGTGCCAGGCACAGTGCTAAGTAATTTTCATGTATTATCTCATTCAATTCTCATAACAGTTCTATGAGGTGTATTTTTATTATTCCATTTTACAGATGAGGAAACTGAGGCTTAGAGAAGTTGATAACTTTATCCAAGGTCATGAAGCTAGCAGGAGGTGAACTCAGTGGTAGATTGACACCTAGTCTAAACTCCTAACCACAGATTTGTACATTTCTGCAAGAGAGTGAGGAAAAGATTGCTGGGTGATTCCAATGATGTTTGTAGTGTTAAGAAAATGTGCCTGTGTGTGGAGGTTTTAAAAAATATTCACGGCCAGGCACGGTGGCTCAAGCCTGTAATCCCAGCACTTTGGGAGGCCGAGGCGGGTGGATCACGAGGTCAAGAGATCGAGACCATCCTGGTCAACATGGTGAAACCCCGTCTCTACTAAAAATACAAAAAATTAGCTGGGCATGGTGGCGTGTGCCTGTAATCCCAGCTACTCAGGAGGCTGAGGCAGGAGAATTGCCTGAACCCAGGAGGCGGAGGTTGCGGTGGGCCGAGATCACACCATTGCACTCCAGCCTGGGTAACAAGAGCGAAACTTCATCTCAAAAAAAAGTAAATAAAATAAAAAAATTAAAAAATATTCACAAAGGGAAAGGAAACCACTAGGGCTTCAGAGCAGAAATTAGCCCCATAGACACCAATTATATTGAGGTCCTGTGAAACTCCATGGGAATTTAGGTGTATTGAGTTAGTGGCATTTCACTGTGGTTGTGTCCCAAGCCAGGTTCCATTTGGTCTTTGCCTAAATTCCGACTGTGGAATTGTGTTTCACACCTACTGTTTTTCTCCCTCCAGGATTCAGACTATGAAGAGACATATTGATGAAAGTCTGCATGTCATAAGAAGAGTCACCTAATAACGGGAAGCATCCCATTCCACTGGCAGCTACGTCCTGTCAGAGAAGTGGAGCCGGGACCATAGTGATGGACAATCCTGGAGATCATCAGTAAAGCCTTTCGGAACCGCTTATTTATTGAATAAATGTTTTGTTGTATTTATAAACTGTGCAAGAACTCTCATAAGAGACTCATGACTTCCCCTTTCAAGAAATTATGCTGTAATTGAATGAAGAAATTCTTTTCCTGAGCAAAAAGATGCTTTTTGCTTCATGTTTGCTCTGGGATGTATTACGTTTTCCTCCAACTGTTCGAAGGAGAATCCTGCATGTAGGCCGCACCGCTGATGCCAGAATCACTTTCTAAATGAAGTGGCGCTTGTGGCTTCCTGATTTGTCACCAGACAAAACGTTTGCTTAGGATGGTATTCTTTGTTTTTTGCTCCAGGTACACTTTCAGCTGTGAGTAGGATAGGACATACGCTCGTTGGTTTAACCACCTCAACCTCAGTTGTTTTTGGGTAACTTAGAGTGTATACTCTCAGTTTCCTTAAAGTTGGTAGGATCAAATCTCTGGTTTGCTTTGACTGGGTTTTGAAAGTATTAAATACAATGTCATCAATTTACAATTAAGGAAGGGAATAGCGAGGTAGAATAATTATTTTCTTTAGTGTTGCTGGTACAGTTTGGGCCAAGGAGTCTTTTATAGCTACTACTTTTCAAGTCAGAGGCAAGAAAAATTCTTTACAGGTTTTTAGTAGCGGCTTATAGAGTATTTCAGGAGTTCTTTGCGAATATATCATGTTTTCACTTGTATTGTTTTTCAAAACTTTGTTGATTTCTGAAATGTGCCAACTATGAGTAAACTATGAGGACTTGTAAGCTGTTTTTACATAATATTTGAGATGAGGAAGTGAGATTGTGCATAGCATAGTTCTCCTTTCTGTTCTCAGTGCCTTGTAACAGCTTACTCCATTCTGCTATAACAGCTTGTTTCAAATTTTAATTTACATGGGACTTTTTTTTTTTGAGATGGAGTTTTGCTCTTGTTACCCAGGCTGGAGTGCAATGGCGCGATCTCGGCTCACCGCAACCTCCGCCCCCTGGGTTCAGGCAATTCTCCTGCCTCAGCCTCCTGAGTAGCTGGGATTACAGGCACGCGCCACCGTGTCCAGCTAATTTTTTGTAATTTTTAGTAGAGACGGGGTTTCACCATGTTGACCAGGATGGTCTCTATCTCTTGACCTCGTGATCCACTTTTTATAAGCCCTGAAGGCGTATAGATAGCATATCAGTAAAGATGGATAGTGCATATATAAACAGTCCTCTGTAATAGTGATCGGGTTCACTTCTCAATTATGAGAGACAAAAATTATCCCCTCACTGGTCTCTATTCTTTCAACAGGTTGATCCCTTTTCATGGTTTTCATTAGGTAGTTCAGGAAGTTTCCATATTACAGCATTTTAGAGTGTATATGTTAGTTTAAAAACCACTTTTCTCTCTCAATCTCTCTCTCTCTTTTTTTTTTTTTTGCCAAGATCTAATTTAAAACATGTGGGTTGTTAGATCTGTCTCATGGAGTTGGCCTGGTCTCTACTATTAACCTGGTCCACAGATCGGAAAATCTGTTTAGTTGGAGGATATCGTGATTGACTCTGGTCACGCGAGGAAGTAGAAGAGGCACAGACAGGACCGGCAGCTGACATTTCCAGTGGTTACACCTCATGGTACTTTGGGCTGCTTGTTAACTTATGCGGTTGTCTCAGGCCAATCTAACGTGACCATGTCTGACACCTCAGCAGAGAGAGGAAAGGAACTGGAGCAAAGAGAGTAAATAATTCAAATCTCTAGAGATTTGAAGATAGAGATCTAATTGTGAGGGGAACTTTCTCGGTGTCCTCATTTCTCCGAGAAAGAGATAATGTCACAGGAACTCACTGAAAGCCACATCCCATTAAATGAGGAACCAGTTTTGGCCGGGCCTTCTTGTAAAGTCCTTGCAGGTGTGTTGTGAAGATCACTGCCGGGTGGTATGTTTGTAGACTGACACCTAGTCTAAGCTCGAGGTAGCTGGTGCTCTGCGAGTACTTAGTCATGTTCTTTTGCAGCTTTAATCGTGACTTGAACTAGTCCCTTCCTTTTTAAATGACTGAACAATAGAGTCCTTCATGGTAAGAGAGTACGTTGACAATTTAGTTTACCTAATTTACTTGACTTCATGGGTTTGTAGTCACATCTGTCATTGGCTGCTATCATTTTCCTTCTTTATCCCTTATATTGAGATTTGGGTTACAGCTTTTTATTCTTCAAAGGGTCCCAAAGCAGTGTACAGATGCCTGCCTTCTTTAAGGATGAAAGGAAGAGAAAGTGGTTTACTGTTTACCTGTCTCACCTATTGTTGAATAACTTCTAAGGTGCTATTTTGCTCACTTTGCTACTCCATGGGCACTTGTCATACCCCTGGAAACCAGCTTCATTTAGAAAGGGAACTTAGTTCAGAAGGGGTTGAAAACCTTTCAGAATTTTTCTTTAGCTGCTGAAGTTTTACTTAGCTGCTGAAGTTACATTACCTGGAGTTTTAGGCATTAAGCTCTTAATTCTATTACAAAATGTGAACTTGTCAATTGCTTTGTGTTCTCCATGTGACCTGCTACTTCAGGCTTCTTGGGGAACATCTTAGTCCTCTGCAGCTCCTGAACTCGGCGCTGGTGCTTCAGGAGAGAAGGTAGCACGTCTTTGTTAAAAACAAAACGGAACAAAACAAAATGACCCTTCTGGAGGCCACATCCTGAATATAAACCTTCTACTAAGTCACTCAGTTATGGTTCTACAGGGAAACTGTAAGGAGACCATAAGGAGTGGGCCAAGACTGTTATATAATTGCACAACTTGAAACTTCGCTGCCAGAAGAGGCAGCTCCATTCCTGTGACTCCAGTGTTGGGCTGTTAACTGCCGCATCTCATTGCCTTTTTTGTTTTTTGTAGGAGGGTAGGCACTGTTGGGGCATATGCACAGATATTGTAACTCTTGGTATCTTTACTGCATCATAATTAATAAAGTTCTTTGCTCCCTTCGGCTACCTTTTTGTGTGTGGTTATCTACATATAAGGTGGGAGTTGTCATGTGAAAGAGATGGGGGTTTGTGGTGTTAAGAGAAACTTGAACTGAATTAAATTGAAAAGAATTTAATTGAGCACAGAATGATTTATGAATCGGGCAGTCCGCTGAGCCACAGTAGGCTCAGAGACTCCAGCGCAGCCATGTGGCAGAAGATTTATGGACAGAAAAAGGAAAGTGATGTACGGAAAACGGAAGTGAGATACAGAAACAGCTGATTGGTTACAGCTCGGGGTTTGCCTTATTTGAACAGTTTGAACCATTGGCTGTCTTCGGTTGGCCAAACTCCATGACTGGCACAAGAGTAGACTACAGTCTGTATACTATTCCATTTAGGTTACAGTTCATGAGGTACAGAAAAACCTTTAGGCCAAACTTAAAATATGTGAGGAGGCAGCTTTAGGTTAAGCCTGATTTAATAGTGGTTTTCACCATTATGCAACCAGTCACGTCTGGGCTGTACCCCAGCAAGAACCTGCAGAGATTCCATGGAGTGCTGGAACCAGCTGACATAGCAAGAGCTGATTACAGGCTGAGTATTCCTAATCTGAAAATACAAAACCTGAAATACTCCAAAGTCTGAAACATTTAGTGCCAACATGATGCTCCAAAGAAATGGTTATTGGAGCATTTTGGATTTTCAGATCAGGGATGTTCAACTGGTATATTTTTGGCAAATATTATAACATCTGAAAAAAATAAGAAATCTGAAACACTTCTGCTCCCAAGCATGTTGGATAAGGGATACTCCACCCATATTAAATTTTTAGGAATTTTGCAGGCCAGTTGGTAGCTTGAAATAGGCCATGACGAAGATATTTATGCTGTGGAGATAGCTGGCTGTCCAGCACACAAGTTCTCAAGGACCACGTAGCATAGTACTTGGGAGCAAACATTCAACAGCTTTTCAGATGATACAGGACAAGTTCCATAAGATGAGTCTGCCCATGTCTAGGTCAAGATTGAAGATGTGTCCATTGAAAACACCTATTTTGAAGTGGTAACTGAGAGGTATCTTGAAGTGAAGAAGCCTTGAGTTCTTATCTAGGATATCTAAGTCACCCAAGAGGTTCTCTGTGAGAATAAATTGCTTCTGGTATTCTGGAAAGGCTGATATCACATGACCAGAAGAAACTACCATGTGTAGGTGGTGAGCTGGAGGACTGGGCAGGCAGATCTTTGGAAGCAGGGGTTGGGTGATTGCCTGGCAAGGTTGCACCTCTGTTTTGAGAGGAAAAATAGAAGAGGTTGCTGTATCTTAAACACAGAATATTTTTTGTTAATATTAAATTTATTGTATTTTGTTTTCATGAAACGGATTTCTTTCTCAGCACCTATTATATGCCTGGTGTCATTCAAGTTTTTACCCTCAGAGGCAGGAGATGGCACCTTGTCATCTAAAAGAAGAGATGGCCCCTGAAGAGGTCTGAGTGTAAGGTTCACCTCAGTGTGTTGAATTTGTCGCCTCCTTTTAGAATGAGAGTATACATAAAAATTGGGTAATGGGTTAGAAGACTGAAATGAGAAGCTTAGAGTTCCTGTTTGCATCTCTGCAGCCACTTCAGAAGGCACGTGTTTGGTGGCTCTGACCTAACCTAGAGTGCTCACAGAAGTCTTTCGGTTGAGCTTGGGAACTGCAGCTGCGGGAAGATTTCAGTGCATCGCTTCTCCTGGGTGCTCATCATCTTGGGTAAGTAGTCGCTTTGAATTTCTTAAGCCATTATTTGAACTTTTCTCATTCAGAAGTGTGCCAGTTCTGAAGGCTCGTTGAATTGGCAGTCTCTCAGGATTGTGAATTGCAGAACTCTTGATCTCTGCAGGGGATGTCATAGAGCAGTCTAGTGGGTGCTGTTTCAATTACTGTCGTGTGGAGTAACTTAGGTGAATCTCCTCAGCAAAAAGAGGAGCAAAGTTTGCTCATAATGAGTATATGACGATGATGATGATAAGGCTTCAGCTTTTAAGTCATCTCTAGGTTTTGGTAGAGCCGTGACTGGCTGTCCTTGAGCTCATGGCAGAGCTCTTCCTTCACTGTTTTTATTTTTAGAAGACAGTTTTAAATTTTATTTTAAAACAAATTTTATTATGTGTGTTTAAGATATAGAACATAATGCTGTAGATACCTGTAGATAGTATAAAGTTTACTATGGTGAAGCAGATTAATATAGCCATCATTTCACGTAGTTACACCACTGTTTTCTTCTCCCCATTACAGACAAGCCAATATTTAACCTTTAGGAGCCTGAGACTTAAACCTCCCAAGAGATCTAGGCTACTGGCCATACTTATTATACCTCAGCACAGCCCTGACCTTGGGAAAGGCCAATGTATGAAGGTTTAAATATAACCCAGTCTGAAGAAGGAAGCAGGAGTAAGGACCTCCAGGGTCCCATTCGTGTAGAAGGCTAACTGATGTGACCTGGACTGTGTTACAGAAGCCGTGTAACCTACCAGTCTGTATTTAGTGGCTTAAGAAGGAAAAATGAAGGCATATTTTAAGAGGCATGGCGTAGAGTGGTTACACGGACTCGTATACCTAAAAACGCCTGAGAGCCCAGAGCTGCACAGCAGTGCGCAGAGAGATTGAGGGGACTTGGCATTGCAGGTGGACAACACTCTTTGAGTAAGGCAAGGCTGTGCTGTTGTTCATTTTCTCAGTGGTTAGTTGTCCTTGCTAGGGACAATCTCTGACTGAGAGACAGCAACTCTCCCTTATTTTGTCTCATGATATTGTAATTTTGGGAGGTACGAATCTTATGTGGCATGCTGCTTTTCTAAAGATTTTTTTTTTCTGTAGTACCTGCCAAGGAGAGCAATTCCCCTACATTGTTTAGTAACTTTTAAAAATTGACACATAATAATTACACATATTTATGGAGTGAGTGCCCAGGGATGTTTTCATACATACAATGTATAGTGATCAGATCAGGCTAATTAGCAGATCCATTGCCTCAAAGATTTTTTTCATTTATTATGTTAGGAACGCTCAATATCCTCCTTCTAGCTATTTGAAACTATGTATCATTGTTAACCTTAGCCATCTTTTTTTTTTTTTTGAGACAGAGTTTCGCTCTTCTTACCCAGGCTGGAGTGCAATGGTGCGACCTCTGCTCACCTCAATCTTCGCCTCCTGGGTTCAGGCAATTCTCCTGCCTCAGCCTCCCAAGTAGCTGGGATTACAGGCACATGCCACTGTGCCCAGCTAATTTTTTTTGCATTTTTAGTAGAGACGGGGTTTCACCATGTTAACCAGGATGGTCTCCATCTCTTGACTTCGTGATCCACCCGCCTCGGCCTCCCAAAGTGCTGGGATTACAGGCTTGAGCCACCGCGCCCGGCCAGCCTTAGCCATCTTAATGTGGTATAGGACACTCAAACGTATTCTCCCTATCTAGCTGTAATTTTGTTTCCTTTAGTAAATCTCTCCCTATGTCCCTTCTCCCCTAGCATCCTCTGTTCTACTTTTTACTTCTGAGATCAACATTTTTCACTTCCACATATAAGTAAGACCACTCAGTGTTTAAGTTTCTGTTCCTGGCTTATCTAACTTAACAGAATGGAATTCTGCTACTGCGGATTCCAGTTCCATTTATGTTACTGCGAAACACAGGATTTTATTCTTTTTAATGCCAAAATAATATTTCATTGTGTACATAGGTCACATTTTCTTTACCCATTTATCTGTTGTTGGACACCTAGATTGATTCTGTATCTTGGCTATTGCAATAGTGCTGCAGTCAACATGGGAGTGTAGAGGTCTCTTCAATATACCGATTTCCTTTTCTTTGGATAAATGTCCAGTGGTGGGATTGCTAGGTCATATGGTAGTTCTATTTGTAGTTTTTTTGAGGGACCTCCATATTGTCTTGGGTAGTGACTAGCCAGGGCCGGTGTCACGGGAGGTAAGGGTATTTACCAAGAAAGTCGTAAGTAAAGAAAGGGAGATTTATTAGAGAAGGTATGAAATATGTTGCAAGATTGCCATGGGCATCGCAACAGGAAAGGGCTGTCTACAGAGAGGCAGGGACTAGAGAGAAGTTTTACAGGGTTGTGCTAGAGGGGGCTACCTGTGGAATGAGGTCACTGTGCCCACAGAGGTCGTTGTGGCCTTGGGTTGTTTGATTTGCTGACTCTCAGTACAGTTGTTCATTGTTCTTCCCCACCTGGGGCCCTCGCCAACTTGGGGCCCCTTCCTCATTGTCGCTTACTTATCAGGACACTACATTCCACCCCTGGCAGAGCAACAATGACAAATCTTGGGCATTGGGCAGAGGTCTCATCTTCCAGCTGCTTCCTGCTGACCAGGGGCATAGCGTTCTCCCTACCTAGAATTGTTGATCTGTTAAGGGACCCTGTGGATCACTGTCCTGGATTGTGGGATATAGGACATTAGATTTTGCTGGAGGAAGGGTCTCATCAGAGGAGGGAGCATGTGAAGGCAAAACTGGTATCCAGCTGAATTCAGGGGAGACTTGTAAAGGTAGCAGCCATCAATAGGGAGAGACTGATGTCCCGTTCACAACATCATCTGAAGGCGAAAGTGCTGAATTCCAGAAGGTAAAATTTTGTTTCTTAAGCCAGTTACTGAAAATGTGAAGAAACGTCTTTTGCAGTGTGACTGTTTTTCCTTATTGAAAGCCCTTTTAGATAACCTGGAAGTTTCTTGATGAAAAGCATTTGAATTTAAATAGACACAGCATAGGGAACAATTTTGGACTATTATACCTTAGTTACATACAACATTCTTTTAATAAATTTCTTTCATGAATTTTCTCATGGCTTATACCATGTATGACATGCTTAGACTTTATGACTTCTCCTAAATATATATTTTTTTCTTTTTCTTTTTTGAGATGGAGTTTCACTTTTGTTGCTCAGGCTGGAGCGCAGTGGTGTGATCTTGGCTCACCACAGTCTCTGCCTTCCACATTCAAGTTCAATTCTCTTGCCTCAGCCTCTCAA